AAGACCAGATGGCTTCCCCACTGTGGCCTTCCTCCTCTGCCTTCCCACAGCTGTCACAGGGTTGTCACGGGTCTCTCCTGTGCACTTGCTGCTTTTCCCTCCTGGCTTGAGGGTTTGCTTCGTAGAAGCTGTGGACGAGTTTGTCTGCACCAAGAAGGATTTCAGAGGCCACCAAGAGAGTACAGTCGTAATGGCTTAAAACAACTAAATTTATAAAAACTAAATTTCAGATAGTTTTCACATTTGTTGGTTTCATTCCTGTTTTCTGAAACTATTTCTATAATATTTATTGAAGGTTATAAAAGGTTTTCAGTTTTGGTATCGTCTTTATTTTTACTGTTTTACTTTTCATCATGAGTCTCTAAATGTCAATAATACCAAGTACACTGTTAATTTAAAAATGGAAATGTTCTTGATTACTATTCTTCTTAGAAGGAGCAGAAGTAATACCCATACCTAGTGATGCATCCGTGTGCTTTAGAGATTCTAAACTCTAGGGAGAACAGTGTAAATTGGAGAGTCATCAAAGGTGACATTGGCCACATTTCTCTTTTCCTTTCTTAAACACATTTTATTTACAACAGACTCTGCAGCTCGCAGTGAAACAGATCACCAGGCAGGTGAAAACTTCTTGCAAGGTGGACCCTCGTGGTGCCGTGGGGCATGGACTCTGAGCTAGCCTGCCTGGGCTCCGAGTCCCTCCATCTCTGCAGCTATGGACTTGAGACGAGCCCTGTAGCCTCTTCATGCCTGAGTTTCCTCATCAGCAGGGAAGATACAGGTAGCACCCACCCCAAGGCCAGGAGGATTAGGAGCACAAATGCGCATCAGTTCATAGAAAGTTCTGTGTGAGTCTTTGCAGTTGTCATTGTTTGCTACAAGAGAGTTTTGTCATGAAAGTCACAAAGAGATACTGATGATAGGAACCATAACAAAAATGGGAAGGCAGAGAACTAGAAAATATACTGTTAGATTATCCAGCCATACATACACAAGTTGTAGGGTCTACAGAGAGAAGGGCAGACAGGGTCAGCCTAGCTGCACATCCTGCCATGGGAAATGTGCTACATTTGATTTATCTATGTGATCACACTGAAAACAGATGTGGGGACATTGTCCAGAGCCATCTGTGTGTCCAGAGCCATCTGTGGGTCAGAGCAGAACGAAAGGGGCCAACCAAAGAACTGAACAGAAGAGTACAGGTTCACCTCTGTACTTCTTTCTTATCACAACACTAATAATTCAGCCAGACTCACTGATGAACTCGTTTTCCAGATTTAGCTATGTGAGTTTTAGCAACTTATTTAACCTTGTTGAATTTTAGTTTTTTTATAAAATGAATATGATGATAACAAGACTTCTCAAGGTTGTGAAATAGAAGTAAGGAACCCGGGTACAGCACTTAGAGCCTTAAACATAGGAAGCGTTCTAGGTGGTCGCTGCACCGCCTTCCTCGTCGCTTGATGTGTAGAATCCCAAAGATCTGCCACAGCCTCACAGCCTTGCTCTTCTGCTTTTCTCATTGCGATGCTTCTGAAGAAAGTAAGTTCCCAGAGACCAAGGTTAAACAAATGCTCACACTTCATTACTGCGAGGCTTTTGCTGGTGTGTGTAGTGAGCCCAGCTGAGCTGGACTGACCTGTTCAGAGAACTCGACCACGGAGGCTCTGTGTGGTTGGCCTTTCAGATGTGCACCAGCATAGCTCTTTTTTGCCAAGTTGGGGCTCTTAGGCTGAGAGCTGGTTTTGCCTAACTCACCCTGCCCCGGTTTTCCTAGGGGAGGACGTTCATGTGGAGATAAGGTGATAGTCCAGCTAGCAGGTGCTCCTTGCGGTACTCCCTGATGATGGCTTAGAGCAACGAGGTGGTGACAGGTGCTCAGATTCTGGATATATTTTAATGAGGAGCCAACAGGATTTACTGAGGGATCCTGTGTGCCCTGTGAGAGAAGGATTAAAGGTGACTCCAGGCTTTGACCTGAGAAGCTGGAAGAATAGTGTATCCGTAATTTTGCCACCATGATAGTGATTCTTGAAGAGGACACGTACATCCTTCATTAGATTTGCTCATAGGGGTTTGGTGTTTTCTAAAACATTATCATTATAAAATTGTTTGTATTTGTTTGATGGTATACAAATAGAATTCATTTTTATGTAGGCTTTATATCTAAATTTATTTATGGCTTCTAATAGTTGCTCTGTAAAATTTTAAAAGTTGGCTGGTGTGGTGACGTATGCTTGTAATCCCAGAGGCTCAGGAGACTGAGGCAGGAGGATCAAAAGCTCAGGGCCAGCCTTAGCAATTTAGCAAGGCCCTCAATGACTTAGTGAGACCCTATCTCAAAATAAAAAATAGAAAGGGCTGGGGATGTGGCTCAGTGGTAAAATGCCCCTGGGTTCAATCCCAAGTACCAAGACAAGATCTTCTCATTTGACAGATGAGGAAATGGAGGTACACAGGCTGGACAAATGATACAATGGGAACTCAAAGCCAAAGCCACCTGGTTCCACAGCTAAGGAAATAGAGAAAGGGTCCAGAACTCTCTTCTTTTAGTGGCCCATCACTCTATAGCATAATTAGTTCTATTAAGAGAAATGGGAGGACTGAGTGGTAGACTTGAAACCGTTATCTTTTATGATGCTTCATTCAGATAGGATTCTAAAAATGTTATTGAATAAATATGGGCTTTGGAAAATTAGGATTAGAAAACCTTCCAGATTAAGTTAAAATTCATGAGAATTGCTCATTTGGTGGACTTTCTGTGCCTTTTGTTTATGTCACTTACTCAAGTTTTTGTTTTTTTTGTTTTGGCCATTTCTTTAGTTCTTATCACTGTCATCTAAGCAGGAGCATAAACTCATTTTCATTGCTTAATGCTGAGAAGTTTATAATCTTGCGTTCATGGTAGATTGAACACAAATAAGCAGTTGTAAACCAGCCCTTTGTGAGTATCCTCTGTTATGAGACAGGCTTAGTAACGCTCACTGTAAAATTAACAAGTGCTCATGGAAGATGTGTCCTGCTTTTTACCCTCAATGCCATCTTCTCAAGGGCTCTTCAGTCTGTAAATGCCTTAGGACTCCCCTAAAATGACATGCTATAAAATTAAGGTCCAAAGTCATGCCGTAACGGTTGTGGCTGACATTTGAGTGTCGCTGCCTCTCAGCATTGTCCCAGTGCTCCGCAGGCCTTGGACCTTTCAGTGTATCTAAGGTAATGGAATGTGGTATTAGCGTCAGTGTTGCAGTCATTCTAGTAGTCCCAGAGTGTAGCTCCAGAGTAGCTGAAGGAGCAGTGCGGAATGTTAAAAATTAATTGTGGAAAGCTTTTGATCTAGTTTTAAGGTAGGTAAGTAGAGGCTCAGTTCCCAGAATGTATGGACACCAGTGTCATTTTTACCTTAATTTATGATTATAGACATATTTGAGTATGAAATACTAAGTTTAAATGAATTATTTTTCTTTAGATTTTACTGGATAGCAATTAAGAGCACAGAGAAAGAAGTAGCATGTGAAATGATTAAGGGCATTGATGTTTCTGGTGGACTGCCTGGGTTCAGAGTCCAGCTCCTTCGCTGGCTAGCTCTGTGAGGCTGACAAGTTATCTGACCTCTTCGAGCCTGTTTACCCAGCTATAAGTCAGCCCTCCTAACAGCATCTCTCTCACCGGGCTTTTGAGAAACTGTAATGAAGCTCTGGAAAGTGCTTGGCACATGGCAGCCACAGTTATTTGAGGACGATCCTCATCATTGCATTTTTTTGTTTGTTTGTGGGTTTTTTGTTTTTTGTTTTTTTGGTTAGTTGTTTGGTTGTGTGTTTTTTTGTTTTGTTTTGTTTTTGTTTTTGTTGTTAAATTGAAAGAGATACCAGTTAATGAAAAAAAAAAATTCTCCTGGATACAAACTACATAAAATTAAAGGAAACATAAATAACATGACCTTTCTAAGACATTCCTTTTATTATAAGATAATGTCTGAGCAAATTATTTTAGTTATAGTGCCTCAATTACTTTAGAATACATTTTAAATTAAAATAATAAAATATCTTAACAGTAGAATTAATTTGAGAAGTAGACCTTTGTCCCATTGTAATAAGTTGTGATATCGTTCACTTTCTAAAAAAGAAAATTATGTTTAGTAAAAAGCTATGTTGTCATATATTACAGTCTTGGTTTTATTTTTTGTATGTCAGTCCTAAATTTTTTTAAAAGTTACAACCAATTAACCATGGGTTTTTAAGTAGTTGTTTTGATTTGTGTCTGAATTACAGACTCTGATGGAATACACATTTCTTGAACTCTTAAAAGTTCTGTTCTTTCATGGAAATTGTTCAAAGAAGCTATTATTAACGAGTATAACCTAGAGGGTTTGTTCTAGATATTTGAGAATTTCTTTGAAGAGTATGTCAGCTCATTTATTTTGTTATATATGATAAGAAATCAGATAGTTAAAAACATTGTGCTCAGAATGCAGAGAAGCATAAGTCTATTAAGAATATTTTAATTCCCCTAATTTAATTATTACACATTGTATACATGTGTTGAATAATTTTAGTGTATCCTAACACTTTGGATTATCGTGAAATCTTACAATTCCAGATGAAATTATAAGTCTGAGCTGGGTGTAGTAGCGCACGCCTATAATCCCAGCCACCCAGGAGGCCAAAGTGGAAGAATCTCAGGGTAACTTAGCAAGACCCTGTCTCAAAATTAAAAGGGTGGGGGCAGGGATGGAAGGACAAAGTATAGGAGTTAGCTCAGTGGTTGAATGCCCCTGGGTCCAATCCCACTACTGAAATGAAAAGAAGAAAAAGAATTTATAAGTGAAGAAGTGAACCTCTCACAAAACAGAAAAATTTCAAAAGCAACATAAAAACATAAAACATATTTTTTCTTTTGTGATTTATAAATATATTGCTATTGTTCATGAATTTAAATTTCTGAAACAAGTGGAGTGTTTATATTACCAGATGTGAATATAGTAATTATTATTTTTTATAAAGGTTCAGAGGTCCAGAGAGATGACATCCTATGGATAGCCATGGCAGGGACCCATCAGATATGGGCACTCCTGCTGGACTCTGGCAAACTACCGAAGAAAAAGTAAGTCTCTGCATCTTTCTTTGAGTGGACTGTATTCTAACGGCTCAGAGTTCCCTCCCCCAGGGTTGCCATGCTCACCAGGCCCACTGGACTAGGCAGGACACTCTAGCTTATGCTACCAGGGCAAATGAGACCCAGTTCTTGCTGGCTCAGAGCAAGACACTTTCCTTGCTCACTGTGCAGATTCTCTGGGGAGCGCTGCTCTGCCACCCTGGCTGATGAAGCCACTGCCTTTTAGAGCTTTGCCCATCATCAAGGTAGATCATGAGGGAAGGAGGTGGCGAGTCACTCACTGGCCCCTAAACTTCTGCAAAGTGACACACATCCCCTCTACTCACATTTCACGAGCCAAGCAAGTCTTGTGATCACATCTGGCTTCTAAAAGCCCAGAAGAGCTGTCCTCCTGAGCATCCAGAAAAAGAACTAGAAATATTTGGTGAGCCCTTAACTAATGACACATAGTTCCAGTAACTGCTGTTCTTCCTTCAGATGGAGGAGCATCGCGTGGCAGAGTGGTCACTAAGTTCAGGTTTTATAGTCAGGCCTGAGTTGAACCCTAGCTTTGCCGTTGACTGACTCTGAGTTTAGGAGAACTCATCTGTTTGATTTCTAAGCCTCAGTTTCCTTACTCATATTGATCTCCTATACTTTCTTTGATAATGAATAACCTGTGAAGAGCTCAGTGTAATGCCTGGCACATACCATAAACACAGGTCAATTTACTGCCAACATAGGGTATATGAGAATGGAAAGGTGGTGTCTCTACAGATCTTTTCCCATAGAGCCTTTCTGCCTCTGCCTGACATTCCAGGTATAGATGGCCACACCCTTCTCTGTGGCCTCACTATAATCCAGATATCGTTCCATCACTGTGCTTGTAAGTTTGCCCAGCCTTTCTTTTTCTTCCTGTCTCTCCCCTCTTTAACTAGGTCCTCATACTAGACCATCTCTTAAAGAAAGAAGCTCTGTCCCTTTCATTGTTGCATCCCCTGTACCTAATTATGTATCTGGTACTCAGTAAGGTTTTGTAGAATAAATGAAGTATAAAAGTCAGTAGACCATAAAGGTCATTAAATCACCATAGAAAGTAAGGTCCTCTCAATTATCTTTATCAGTAGAAAGGAGCAGTTATATAGAAAATTGAAAATATCAGGTATTCTAAATATTATGTATATGTGTGTGTGTTGCTTTGAAACATATTTATGTAATGTTTTACAACAATCATATAAAAATATTTATTAAATACACTCAGTGCTAGGACTAGAGATGAAAGGATATGCTCACTAAATTAAAGATAAAATGAAAACATGCAGTTGCCATACTCGGTGGGCTACAGAGGAAGAATCAGATCGCAAACAATTCAAAAACAGTGTATGTAGAAAAGAATCACTGGAGCAGTCTTCATGTTGAAATTGTCCTGAATATAAGTAAGAGTAAGAGTTGAGTGTCAGAGAACGCTTCCTGGAAGAGGCATACTGGACTGAGACCCCATGGAGGAGCAGGGCTTCCACAGGGGGACAGGGGCAGTTTCCAGGCAAGAGCTGGCACCAGTGATGTCAGTGGCAGCTGATCACCCAGTGCCTTGTGAGTCCTCTTAAGAGATTTGGACATTCTGCAAGCCTTTATAGAAAGGGTCAGGCTGGGAGTGACATGATTAGTTCTGTGATTTTGAAAGAACCCTGGCAGCATTCAGATTGGGACAAAACTGGAGATAGAGATGCCATCGAGGAGACTGTCAGTGCTATCCAGGCTAGAGGTTACCAGCAGCGTACGTGAGGCTTAATTGTAAACAGCAGACAGAAGTAATGGAGCTTGCCAGAATATGTTCTTCTGGGTGATGGCTATTTTGGACATAAATGGTCAAGGGCTGTCTAAGTTTCTTAATTAAGTAAGATCGTCATTCTTGTTCATAATAGGAAAATGAACACTTGGTTCACATTGACCCTCACCTTTGTTTTAAGGATGCATTATCTTTATTCATGACTGGTCCTCAAGTAGTAATGACCCCTAATGTTTTAAAATGTACTGCTTTTTCTCACTCTTTTTTATTTGATTAAGGGGGTTCATTTTTTAAGTATTTAGACTTTTAATAGTAATTACCTTTCAATTTATTTGTTTTGTATATTACATTTTAAGTCAGCTTTTTCCCTATGCATGAATTTAGAAACTAACCTGTAAAACTTTCTCTATATCACAAAAAGGATCATTCCAGTATCCTGAGTGGACATTTCCCTAGTGTATGTAAGAAGTTGATTTGATGTGACTCAGTAGTCAATGCAGTAAGGTCAGCCTATGTCATTTTCCTAAAGTAGTGATGCCTGACCTGGCTCTCTTTCAAAAACTATTACTTAATTCCTTTTGTTATTCTCTATTTTTACACAAGAGCATAAACATTTTTAATGAAAATGTAAGCTTTAAACTATCACGAATTAGGTAGTCTTGTTAGTTTCCTTTCGGAACTTAATGTTTCATGCAGCAAACCAGTCAGGACATTAAACTGGGAATAAACTTTATCAAACAATCTGACCATTATTTTTATAATTCCAATCCTGTCGGGGATTTCCTGTTTGGCCTTTGAGAGGGCTTTCAGTTGTGTGTATGTTGAAGAAAAGTAGGAAGGTTTCTACCCAGTGGCTGAATAAGTAATGGTTTGGAAAATTACAGAGAAGGCTGACTAGCACAGTTTCACTAGGCCAAGATCACTAATTTTGATTTTTTTTTTTTTACAGTGCTATCACCATTGATTAGATCATTTTCATTAATTGTTGGATGACTATATTGGGCACAATATCCCATCTATTGATGCCATCTATGACCTTGTCTTTCAGTGAGCTAAAAAAAGGAACCTGCCTTCGGTTTGCTGGAAGTGGAAATGAGGAAAATCGAAACAATGCGTATCCTCACAAGGCGGGCTTTGCCCAACCTTCAGGTCTTTCTCTGGCCTCTGAAGATCCCTGGAGCTGCCTATTTGTAGCAGATAGTGAGAGCAGTACAGTGAGAACCGTCTCGCTGAAAGATGGAGCAGTGAAGCACCTCGTAGGAGGAGAAAGAGATCCCATGGTAAAGAAAGTCACTTTTGCAGTGTGCCCAGTCACTGATCAAGCTGTCAGTTTCCTGAATTGTGCAGAGTTAATGAAACTTAGGAGAAGTCATTCTTGGCCTGTTCATGAGATCAAATGAAGGTCAAGCCTAAGAAAATATGAGTATAAAGAAAAACAAGTAAAGCCAACTAAGAAAAGTAAATCAGTGCTACTTGATGATATGTAACCATGTAAACGTTAAGGTTTTAGAGAGAAAGAAGGGATAGAATATTGCTCACTGAGAAGAGAAGAGCGCATATTAGATGTTGGTTGAAAAGGGCACCAGATTCGATGATTTAGCCTGTTCCTCACCACGCGTGAGTAGAGTGGCGATGCACTGCAAGTAGAGTGGCGATGCACCAAAACCAGCCCAGGCCACAGTCCTGTGAGTCCCTGCCAGTCTACAGCAAGTGTCCAGCCCTGATTGTATGAAAGACAGGCCTTTTCCCTTTTAACTGTAATAGCACATACAGCTATATTAATTTTCACTTTATTTTCTAACAAACATTATAAAAATTAATAACTGCTGTTTCTTTCTCTTTAAAAAAAATAAAAGAATTTATTTGCTTTTGGTGATGTCGATGGAGTAGGCCTCAGTGCAAAGCTTCAACACCCACTTGGAGTAGCGTGGGATAAAAAGAGAAATTTGCTTTATGTGGCAGATTCCTATAATCACAAGGTGAGTCTTGACAGAATAATATAATGCCTTGCTTTTGCCTGTGGTGTTTAAAACGCTGAAAGATCTGTGTACCTCCTACAAGTGCCACTCCAGAATACAGAGGAACAACAGCCCTTGGCAGCTATGTACCAGCTTGTTCTGTGTTTCTTCTGGTCCTTTCTTTGGCAAGATATTATGATGATATCTGAAGCAGGAAAAGCACTAAACTTGGCTATAATAAAAAGTTATGAATTGTGTGGGTTCAGCAGCACGCACCTGGAGTCCCAACTTCTGAGGAGGCTGAGACAGGAGGATCTCAACTTCGAAGCCAGCCTGGGCATCATAGCACAAGATCCTGCCTCAAAATAAAAAGAGCTAGTGATGTAGCTCAGGGCTAGAGCACCCCTGAGTTCAATCCCCAGTACCCCTCCCCGCAAAAAAGTTATGAATTGTGATCCATCAAAATATGTTCAGGAAATAAGGAGAAAGCAAATAGCGTGGAAGATAATGTGTCAACTAGCAGGCGAGGGCTTCTGAGCTCTCGTCTTCGCAGTGCCTGCTGCCACGAAATCCCATCTCCACCAGCGTCCCCACTTGTCTTTTTAGTGGCTTTAGTTCCCATTGCATGTTTCTTTTTTAGAAAGCATCCATAGATAACAAATGTTAACACTTTGTAATAAGAGATCATAAATTTAATATGTTTGAGACGTGACTGATGTCATTAAAGAAGTTCAAATCTTCTGTCAGTGCTAGATGCTCATGAGAAAAGGGTCAGTTCAGTTGTGAAAGTATGTTCCACTGTAAAGAAAAACAATAGAAATATTTATTTTTAATTACAGAAAAAAATTTATCCAAGATTACACCTAGAAAATACACAGTTTTTAGTTCTTGGGGTGGAATACCTCTTCTTAGATTATAAGTGTTGGGCTTTTCAAGAGAATAAGGAAATACCTACTTTTTTTTAGATTTATTGATAATTTAATGGCAATCCAAAACTCTAACATTTTCTGGATGCTATACCTTTCCATTATACAAGCCTGAGGTGGATCTTCAGATACATAAATTTTGTTCTTTTTCTTTAGATTAAAGTTGTGGATCCAAAAACAAAAAGCTGTACAACATTAGCAGGAACCGGAGACACAAATGATGTTTTCAGTTCCAGTTTTACTGAGTCATCTTTTAATGAGCCAGGAGGCTTGTGTGTTGGAGAGAACGGTCGGTTATTATATGTCGCAGATACCAATAATCACCAAATTAAAGTGATGGACTTAGAAACAAGAACAGTTTCTGTGGTAAGTGAACTGCAGCATAAGTTGAGGGTGTGGTTTTAAGAACAGTACTCAGGTGCCATGGCACTGACAGAGATGCTTTGAGTCAGACCATCTCCAGTGGCTCAGGTGACACGTGGAGGTGGTATAGTAAGCCCTCCTCCGCGGTGTTCTGTGATAACCAGACCAGCAGGACTGCTTTGAGGATATCCTGTCATTCCTAAAATATAAGTTCCATCTGTGCTGAGAGTTTGAGAAAGAGACTGGGAGTTGGAGAGAATTTGATGAACCTTCAAGAGAAAAGGAAGGAATCAGATCTGTTTTTAAATATATAGATACACCAGCACATACTACATACACACGGCACGTGGGTTGGGTAGTGTTACGCAGTGATCCTGAGATTATCGTGTAATCTTTGTTCCCTATGGTGAATCCAGTACCAAATTATCTGCCAGAGGAAGTTTTAGAAGCCACATTTTAAAGTTGTGGACATGGTCTATAATAGAATTGTAAGAGAAGTATCTATCATAGCTACCTCTTGATGAATCACCTTTACCTGGGGGGCGGGGGGAAAGATTTGTTTCTTCTAAAATTCTAGTAATCTGCAAAGAATATGTTTTAAAATAAAAAACAGTTTACCATCAAAGCTGTCATCTTTCTTCACATAGATCTCTGTTATAAGATGAATAACATACTTGGCTACAAATTATAAGGGGATGGATATATCTACTACATTTAAATTCATAAAATCTTGCTTTGATTTCCTGCCACCTATAAACATAACTGGACAATTACTCTTTTATAAGTATTGGTTCTCTTTTTGCTAAGATGAACATTTCTCTCTACTCACAGAATAATCTGGAGGGCATCAGGACAAACACTTTCTAATTCAGACTAGAATGACAGTTTCAGTGATAGAGAAATTCATTTTCCTACTGAAATCTAAAAATAAACTCACTCTCAATTGCTGTACAGTACTGGTGCTTTAATAACAGATTTTTTGATTTCCTAGCTCCCTGTCCTCAGATCTGAAAATGCTGTGGTAGATGGCCCATTCCTAGTGGAAAAACAGAAGACGGTACCCAAACTGCCTAAATCTGCCCCGAGCATTGGGCTTTCCACAGTAACTGCTTGTCCTGGGCAGACGCTGCAGTTCAAGCTCAGACTGGACCTCCCGTCAGGAGCAAAGCTAACTGAAGGAGTATCCAGTTGCTGGTTTCTAACAGCTGAAGGTATGAAAATATTTAATAAATTTTTTGTGTTTAATACAATAATTTTTGCTCATTTATCATGTGTTATTTTTTACTCAGTGATTGAGGAAGATTATATGAAAAAAATGAATTTAGATCTAACCCACATTGGCAGTTTTCTTTGATCTCAGAGGTCCTTTCCTCCATTTTATTAAAGAACAGTGTAACTCACTGAATTACACCTCAGTTGTTAGCAGTTTCTTAGAGAATGGACTTGCCTATGCTTCTTCCCATATTCTAAGCTTGTTCTTCATTTTTTTTTCATTTTTGTTCCCAAAAAGAATCTTTTAAAGTTAAAGTCTGAAATAGAGAAATGAAGTGGCACCTCCTTATTTAACATCTTTTTCTGTAACTCATCTGTCTAGTCACCTTAACGCAGTCCCTGCCCTTTATAGTGTGAGCTAGCTTCTTGTTTCATTCATGGATGCTATGGAATAAGCATACCGCCTGGTTTTACTAGAGTTTTTCTAGAGCTTTCCATCATCTGTAATGTAGCGGACAGCAGTTCTACAGTGGGATAGTAGTGGTCCAGAACTTCTGAAAGTAGGACTTCTTGTCTCAAATGATCATCCTCTCTCCTAGTCTCCCACGCTCTTTCACACGTTCTCACTCAATCTTCCATTTCCTCCCCAACTCTTTTTCCCTCATACCCTCTCACACACTTTTTTTTTGTACATTACCCAAATCCTGGCTTCATGCCTTCTTACCTTCATACATTCTCAGAACAGAAGCCACTCAACAAGTCTAAATCAAGAGGACAAAGAGAACTTGGTGGGCCAGCTGTGTAGATGCCAGTTAGAGACTGGGAGGCTGGCTGGGGCGGGCTGACTGAGCCTACAGGGAAACCACCCCCTCACTCCCTACAAGGAGCGGGGCAGCCATGCGCTACTCAGAGAGTTGGAGCTAGCCTTGTATACAGAAGAGTTGTCCCACAGCCCTCTGGCTTCACAGCAGACCCTATACTGCTGGTTTAACTGTTGTGTCTGTGCCCCCAGGTCTGAAGTGGTGCATCAGCTGGATATCATTAATCTCATTTCTCTCTGTGTAATTGTAGAGCAGCGTATTGATTTTTAAAATAAGATGTTGACAGATTAACATTTTTAACTCTGCTTTGTTAAACAGATGAATTACTCTCAAGTCATTGGGATATAAAATACAAATGGTACTAAAGTGAAGTGTCTGGGGGAAAATACTTAGCTCTTTCATCACTTGTCCAAGATATTTGTGCCATTTTTATTACATACAGGCAAATAAACTTTTAGGCAAGATTTTGAAAATTATTTTATGGAATACATTTGTACACTTAGGATTAAAAGATATTTTCTCTTTTTGGCTGCTTTTTGAGACAGTTAAAGTGGTTAGCATATGTGAAAGTTTTAAGCCAAAAGAAAAAAAAGCAGAAAAAAAAAAAAACCCTCTGGCATATATTATAAATTCACAGATCCTTAATGTCATATATATGAAAATAGGTAAAGAAATATTTTCTTTTATTTCTTGATTTGAATATTAAAATAGAGCAGTTTATTATTTTCCCATCTGGCTTTAAAATTTAAGAAATTCTGTGCTAATTTTCTATCAGGTGAAATCAAGGATTAAGTAGAGCATACTCCCAGTCCAGAACTAAGTAAAGAAAGCCAAAGAATTTTCAAGAGAATTGTAGACCTGTTGAAAAACTCCTGCATAAACTCTCTGCACTTAACTCCCATTCTTCCCTTTCACCTTCTCCTTATTCTTCTTAACTTTTTTAATTGCAGTTTCTAGAACTGAGCAATGGGGTGTCTTAAATTTTCTCAAATTTCATTTTTCAGTCAACCGAATATTAGAAGCAATCAACCAAAGGGGAGAGGAGAGAACACTAATAGAGGCAGGCTCTTGAGTCTGTGGCTCCTCAGGAGGCAAAGAAAAGAGACAGAAAGCTAAAAAGTGTCTCATGGCTACTCAGTGGAGGACCCAGCTTTTGTACAAAGGCCAAGTCATTGATGCATCGTGAGAGATGTTGAGTGTTCTCTAGCAGGAAGACTTTCTGGCTGTGTTTCCCAAATCTGACTCCTGGTGTCTGCCCCTGTGAGCAGAATGTCCGTGCAGTACTGCTTCCTCAATAGGACACAGGCCTTCCTCAGAGAGAAGGCTCGAAATGAATATAGACGGTTAAGAATTTTAATACTAGAAGGCTTAAAGTTCTTTAGTGGTTTATTGAATGTTTGTTATATAGATGATCTTAGTATCTAAGTCTAAGATGAGTTTTATCTATTAAAATGAGGTAGAAAAAAATCTTAGTTTCTATATTGTTTGGACTCAGAGATTGTATACATGGCATTATCTGTATTTTTATTATTATTACTCTAAGAATTTACCATTATCTTAACTAAAAAGATAATGAATTTACCATTATCTTAACTAAAAAGCCACTGTGGAGTTGTACATACACTTGTATTCTCTAGATGAAGTTCTTTTTGTACTGTGTCTCTGTGTCTCTGTGGTAAAATGTTCTGTTATCTCACATAGCTTGTGTTTATTTAGCCTGCTTAGATTTCATTTTGAAATTTGGGGCTTAAGGATCTAGAGCCATATTTGTAATATTCAGCTTGATTTCAGTAGAATTAAGTTTATGATTTATGGTGTTTAAACAAAGGAAGAATTGTAATAATTACATATAGAAATCACCAGATGGGGCTCATTTGTGGTCATTATGTCTTATTTATATTTATGCCTTTGCCCCAGATTGCAGTGCCCAGCATTAGAAACTTTCATCAATATTAGTTGATTGAATGTATCTTGTCTCCCTGAGATTTTTCCAGTCTCCTACTTGTCTTCTTATACAATCTTAACAATTTATTTCTTTTATTTTCTAGGCAATGAGTGGCTTCTTCAAGGACAGATACCATCTGGAGACATAGAGAACATTTCCAACCAACCAACGATTTCACTGCAAATTCCTGGCAATTGCTTATCACTTACAGCAGTTGTATCTATCAGCGTGTTTCTCTATTACTGTAGTGCAGACAGCAGTGCTTGCATGATGAAGGGAATTTTGTTCAGGCAGCCTTTAGAGATAACTTACACACAACCAGGGTACATAGATCCAGTAGAGCTCAGGTATGTATTCTAGCAAGCCAGCTAGCAGCACTTAGTCACAAGCCCTGTCCTCCATTCCTTTCATTACAGAAAAAATTTTATTTCTGTTTCTGGATTCAAGACGCCCATTGCTCAGTTCTAGCAACTAAAATTAAAATAAAGCTATGCTTATTTATTATTGTACACAAATTCATTCTGCTTTTATATTAGCTAAGTCATTGACCATCATTTAGACAAAGATATGAAATCTCTGCAGCTATTTGGCAAAAGCCTGAAGACTACACTATAAAGAATATTATAAGATAATTTGCAGTCCTGATATAATCATACCAAGTATTTTAACTAACTTTTTCTACCTTTATTAATAGAAATAAACACATTTGCATATGTAAATTTTATAGTAACTTTAGATAGACCTAAGCTCCAGTCTACATGTTTGTGTAAGGATACCTGCCATTTAAGGCATAAGGTTTACTTTAAGCCAAAAAAGAAAAAAATATATTTTATTTTCTTTACAGTAGATGCTTAGAGCATGTGGTGGTTACATATACCTTTATTCCCTTCTGTGATTTTCTCAGCTGAAATATTTTTAAAAAGAGAGTTTTGATCTATTTTTATTATAAATTATTTGTTGTTTTAACACAGCATTATTAATGCCTTATAACTTTATACAGAAAAAGTTGAGCATATAGGCCTGTTCCTTAACTGTTTTTTGGTTTGGTTTGGTTTTTGAATGAACACATTATCACTAGATAATGAATGGCTCCCAGAAATAGTATAAGTTTCAAGGAGAAGGGACTTAGGACACATTACTGTCTGTGATAAAAAATGTATTGTGACAGCTGAATCTGATATAAATGGGTATGTATGTTGTTTCAGAAATTTATGTTGTACTTGTAAGCTTTAAATGCAGATTTGTTGGTTTTGGGGTTTTTGATTCCCATATTTAAAATTTAAATTTTGATTGTTGATCGTGATGTTTTTAAGATCACATTTAAGTCTTCATATTGAAATTTTCAATGTGAAGTACTTTTGTGTAATTCACAGGTATAGTATATCTTAACTACTTTTTAAAATATTAGAGCCAAAACATATACTGTTTTGTTGGTTTTTGGTTTTTTGAACTCTAAAAAAAAAAAATAGCTACTGAGAATACTGGAGATTTTTAGAAAAAATTACTGTTATCACAATTTATTTTATAACTATCTAAAAACTTACTCTTGTTTTTCCAAAAGTAGATTCAACATGTTTGTGATTTAATCAGCTTACAAGATCTTAAAAACCTCAGGCGGACCATGTTTATTTATTTAATAAATATTTATGAACAATATGGAATAATATGCTTCCCCTCCTTATATTTTTAGACAATATGACATAATATGCTTCCCCTCCTTTAAAAACAATGCTAAATTTGAAGTGTAATCTTTTAAACACATTGTCTGCTCATTTATGTATATTTTGGGAAATACAGTTTTGAAACATAGTATTTACTTGTTTCAGAAGATTGGTGAAATCTCTTAAGAGAATGTATAGATCATGACTTTGATTAGTTAATAGCCTACAAAAACTACTTTTACAGAAAAATATAAAATAAAAAAGAATTCTGTTTAAAATTGTATGTAATTACCTCATTAAACCTTTTCCCTCCACAAACAACCAAAACATAATTTTCTCTTTTATGGAGAATAGACCTTATTACTTTTTAATGTCATTGACTTATCATACTTCTCATTTCCACTTGGACAGGATGAGAATATTTTGGCTCGTTTCCTGTATAAGGACATAAATAGTCTCACTCTCTAAAAGAAATAGAGTTTTAACTTGCTAATGTAGAAATAACTGATGACTTATTTTTCAGTATAATACCCAGAATATGTTTATATATTTTTGTGTACATTAAAAATTCAAAACTACTTTTTAAGCTTTCCCTTTACTTGCCTAGGTAGAGTTTTGGATTAGTTTTAAGCAAATGCTTTTCTTGATTTTCAGAGTACTCTTTTATTGAACATTCTTATTCTTACCCACTGCCAGTCTGCATTGTTTTATACACTAAAAATTTTATTTATAATGGATTAGTATGATTTTGAATAAATCACACTAAAGCAATATAAATGTGATTCTAGAATTTATAACTAACATAAACCTCTTATATAAGAGTAGGCACTATAAAGCTTATTTTTAAAACTTCTTGATCCATGTCTGCCTTCTGTTTTTCGTTAGGGCTCTTATTTTTTTACTTTTGCTTTTCTGTTGCACAAGTTATGTCCAGTGGGTTTCAAAAGAGTTAAAGTTTCAGTTAAGTCATCTTAATTAAAATACTAGTAAGATAACATTACACACATTTTGACATAATGCCTGGATTTTTACCCTGAATTATATATTTTTTTTCTCCTTGCTGTGATATCATTTTACAAATAGTAAGATTTTTTAAAAAAAATTGATACTCAGGATCAATATGATCCCTGGAAAGAATTTTGCTTATCTTGAGTATTCTATCTCAAGCAAATATTTAACCTATTCACAAGAGAAAACCTTGTGTTTAATCACCTATAAGTGTAACTTTGGCAAAGTTCAAAGACTATGAAAAACAATTTTATCCCTAACTGTCTAATAATGTATTTAGTTAGAGTATTATCAGGTCTTCAAAAAGCTACAGTAAGCTTAATATATAGGTCTTAATGCAGCCCAAAACTATATAATATGTGTGGATGAATGTGTGTGTATGTGTACATGGATGTGAAGATTAGTTCAAGAAGTTCTCACATTTCTTTTATGGCCAGTCTACTTTCGAGCTAATACCCCTGAGATAAGTTATTCTTTACTTGTTTTTCCAAAGTTGGAAAATTGGGGAAGATAATAAAAATATGTACCTATAGCGTAATAATTTTTTTTTAGCATTTAGTAAATAATGAAACTGCTACTTAAAGGCTTAGTTAATAATAATAAGTTGACCACAGACACACATGGCTTGACATTTTCTTTGCAACTGCAAATTTACAGGAAAATCTTTATCTACCAACTATTTGTTGTGTTAGTATTCTCCATAGAGTTGGTGTTGAAGAAGAGAAAGTTCTATAATAAAGCATATCATTGTTTTCCAAACAGTACTGTAGTTATAAAGATGCATGCCTACAGTCATATTAAAACTTTAAAAAGATATTCTGGACCCATGAATAATCCACTTGCTTCAGAGAAGGTCAAGATACCCTGAACCATACTCCAACAGCACGTGCCTAACAACTTGCACCAGGATACCTGTTTTAACCCGAAGTTTCACTCTGATAGTGCTTACAGGATCTTCAAAGTGCTTTAACAGATACTGCCTTAATTGAGCTTCAAAATAACCTTATAAACTAGACAGGAAGATTATTGTTTCTTTTGTGCAGATGAGGGAACAGCTTTGAGATCAGAAAGCTCCCAAAATGACGTTGATACCTAGAGCAGGGCTGGGTGTCCACAGTTGCTAGGTGATGTGGGATGACGAGGGAGGAGAGTGAATGGTAGATATTTTGTCCTGGCTCAGGTCTCCTAACTCCTGGCTCTGCTACACTAGGGTATAAGGTTAAAAAGCCAAGATGCAGAACACTTACTTCTGTGAACACTTTCTTAGGCCTCCAACTAGGTAGTAAGCATTTCCCAGTGCTTCTTCAAACGCTTTGTACAATAACTCAGGATCGCCTTAAGAGGGAAGGCCCAGAAGCTGAGATAGGGGTGAGCAGTTGTACCAGCAGAGTCAAGGTAACACATTCAGGAAGGGGCATCTTTCCAGGCTCTATGTAGTAATTCGTCAATCCAGAGAACCCAGTACTCTTAATGATTATTTTTGAAGTTTAAATCCATCTAATTGCATGCTTTTTTGTTATAAACTATTATTCAGGCCTTAAAATGGTCTGAATAATTGTTTCCCCAAAGACTTTTATATATGACTCTTCTTTAATCCACAAATTTTCTTGGCAGATGCGTGTATTAAAGAAATCCCAGTGCTGGTCCCACCTGTGTGGCTTCAGTTGGTCTGCAGACAGTAATGAAGACCATGGCCGCAAGAGTTAACAATTCTTAGCACAGGACTGTTTCAAACCCTGATAAGATCATTTGTATTTTAAGAAAATTTTGTTTCCTTAGCAAATTAGCTCTAGTAATGTAAAGTCTAGTGTTTTCTTGCTTCATAAATACTGGTATGTAGACCATTCCACAATGACACAAATACATGCAATTCAATTTCAGTAAAGTTTTTGCCAGGGTCAGCCTATGATTTCAGCATTAGATGCTATTAAAAGAAATGAAGCAAAGTGCTAGCAGTGATTATCTGCCAGTGATTCTGATTAATGATCATTTTTACACAGAATGCAGTCATCTTTTCACTGTTAAATGGCTTGCTTAATAAATACTAACAGTAGCATGCACTAAGGAATTTATTAATTTTAGTATAAAATCTCATTCCTGAAATCTATAAGGTGATGTATGTCCATTTAAGAAAGTGATGAATGTTGACATATTTTAAAAGTGGAATTTACCATTAATCACCAAGATTGCTTTTTCCACCTGTGGCACATAGTTTATGTGAATGAAGAATTAGCACTAATCTTAAATCACTGTTTGTCCCAAATAAGTAAAAGTTTGCTTTTCATTCATTTCTTTGCAATAGGTTAATATAAAGAATAGTACTTTAAGTGAGAGGCTCGAGTCATCTATGTACATTCCACAGCCGACAAGCCCTGGCCCTTGCACATATTCAACCTGCCTCCTTTAGCCTGGCCTCCTTTGGCAGAGTCTGCATACAGAAGAATGGAGGCGGCCCTACTCGGCTTTTTGACACAGCCCTTCCTTTTCTTAGTGTGCTGGTTTGGTTTAATCATTTTCAAAGGTTAGAGTTGTAAAGTTAAAATACTAGCCACGTGTCATGGACCATTTGCCTAGATAGAGTTAGTTGTTGTTTTGGTGTCCTTCCCTGGCATGCCACTCAAGAGGACCAAGGGATGTTTTGTTCTGTTGAAAGCCTCAGGACCAAAAGCAGAGTATTGCAGACATCTCCAAGTATTCCTCCCCCTGGACCATCCACCTTTCATTAAAAAGCACTAGATAAGCACAAATGAGTACTCAACAGTCTTGTACCAAAAAGCATCCTTGTAGCTGTCCAGAAGTGGTAAGGATTCCTTCCTCTGTCAGTCTTGGTTAAGAAACACAGGGTTAGGCAACATTGTCAGATTTTTAATGTTAAATACTTGAACAAACACAATTTACCCCTTTTTAATTTTAATGTGTTTGGTTACAGGTTTCCATTTGAAATAAGTGAAGGGAGAACTCAGTGCTAAGAAGTAGAGAAAAAAAAAATCAGCCCTCAGATTTAAGCAGACCAGTTTAAGCAAAATTTTTGTTAATTCTTTCTTTACGTAGTTTGTGCAATGCTCATGAAAAATATGTTGAGATAAATAGGACAAAACATTAGTCAATAAATTATGTTTCTTAAGGGTAAAAATAGACAAGTTCCTGACTCCACCATGTAACTGTCTTCCACTTTTAAAATTTCATAGTCATTATTCTTAGTCCCACTAGGAGGGAACACCAGCCGATTTGTGTTGGGATGGAGCTGCGTGTGACACGTTGTGCTGTATCCACGCCTGTGAACCGTCGTCATTGGCATCATCTGGAAAACAGAAACCACCATTCCCCTGCACACTACCTCCTGCTCCTTAGAAACCACAGAGTTTGTGTAGAAGTTTCAGGGAGGAACTGTGGTCATGTCAGTAATCATAGATAGGGAAGAATGAGTTTCTTGTGGGGGGATTTTTTTCCTCCCCTTAAATTCCTATTATCAGTCTTCAAAGTAGGGGAGCAATACCCTTTGTGACTTGAAATTAATTTCTCTGTCATTTGATCTATATGTTCTAATTATACTTCCCATAGGTTAAAATTTTCAAAAAAAAAAATTTAAAATCTCCCTCTTAGGATACATTGAGAGCCATTTTAGGATCACTGTCATTACTTTACATGTGGTTTGTGGAGAAATAAAAATTTGCTGTGTAATTGAGATTTTCATACATTTATCACTGCTTCAAATTATAACATTTCATAAATACATTAAATTATAAAAACTCAGATTCTTTCCTATCTTTTGTGTGGAGAAAGTGTGTGGTTTTCTTTCTGAAACTAGAGCTGGTCTGCTGTGCTGACTTCATCCTTAAAATTCCAAAGTGTAATCATATTTATTTTTTCTTCATTGATTGAAAATGCAATGAAAATCGTAAATTACAAGTTCAGATGCTGATATTTGTAGGTACGGTCTAGTTCTAAAAGAATTTATTTGTGCTTTTTAAAAATATTTAATGTAGACAGACATATTTTTATACAACACTATTTCTACTTTTATTTCAAGACCGTATTCTTCAGTGTCTTTTCTTTGAGTGCATGTATTAATCGTTTGCAGTAAGCACCTTCAGAGATGCAGTAAGCACCTTCAGAGTAAGGCCTTCAGAGATGCAAAAAAAAAGTGCGGTACATGTGATCTTAGAAAGCGAAGGTATGTTTATACTGCATGTGGAAACCTACTGCCTCTCTTTCTAAAGCTGTATACTTTTTTTTCATGAAATAGATTAAATATTTTCTCTCAAGCCATGTTTCTGGGTTTTTTTTTTAATATGCTTTCTGTTATAAATATATAAGATAATTTTACTACTTAGAAACCTGTAAGCCATGATTTATTTGAACTTTGGGGGAATAAAGTTATTTTAAAAAAACTGAACAAACACTTCAAAATAAAATCATGCTGTCATAATTACATACAGATTTTTAAAAACATTGGGGGTGCTGGGGTTGTGGCTCAGTGGCAGAGCACTGGCCTAGTATGTGTGAGGATTTGCTTCTCAGCATCGCATGTAAAATAAAATAAATGTCCATCGACAACTAAAAACAAAAATTAAAGAAAAAAAAACATTGGAAAGGAGTGACCTGTTCAGAAAATGGTATTAGGAAATTTGAAAAGAACAACAAAATTTAACTCTCTACCTGATACTGTGCAGATAGATTGGAAAGGAATTAGTGACTTAACGTGAAAATAAAACTACAAAAATGCCAGGAAAAGATCAAGGAAAGAATAGTGTGGAAGGTTAGAATGCCATTCCTGGGAGTGACCTGAAACCCAAAAGCAGTGATGGGAAGATTGACAGGTGTGACCACACAAAAAGTGTCAAGAAATGAAAAAGGAAATGACAAACTTAAAAAATATTTTCAAAACCCAAAACAGACATAGAAATACTGTGTATAATATGTGAAAAGCTCCTATAGGCAATAAGAGATTCCCCAGTTGGAAAAGTCCAAGAAATGTGAGCATGCAGTCCCCAGAAGAGACAGTAATGAAAAGCTGTGCAGTCCCACTGTATCAGGAGGTGCAAATGATTCACTCAGCTACTCGCTGAGTGGTGTTTTATGCTCTTCTAGTCCAGTAATGAACAGGTCAGACAAGATGTCTGCTCCAGACCTTATTTTATAGTTGAGAGGAAAGTCAAGGAGATAAGTAAACAAAAAGACTAATGACTAACAAGGTCTAGGGAGATACCAGGCCTCAATTGCGTTGGTGTGAAAAGAACCCAGTTCCTACAGGTACCTATGTGAAGTACAGGAACCACATTGGATAGTGTTTCTCAAAGAGGCTCTCTGAACTACACTAATACTGGCAAAATACTTGAGAGCCAGTGGACCCAGGTTCTCTCCAACTTGGTACTGTCAGAGTTGAATTTTGGCCATTCGAGTGTAAAATGTTGTGGTGTTGCTTTCTATTGCCATGAACAGTAGTGAAGGTAAATATTTTTCTTATTTTAATGACCCAGTAGTTGAAGAAATTGCCTCCATAAAATACTTGAATATGTGCATGAAAGTATGTCAGCATTGTAATAGTGAAAAACTGAAAACAGCCTATATGTCCATCAGTAGGAAATGTTCTCTGTACAACTGTCTATCCATGCAGTGGAATACAATGCAGGCATTAAAAAGAATCACATCTACTTGCACTCACATGTTATAGGAAGAACACAAGTTTCAGAAGGAACGTGAATATGCTTTTATTTTTTTAAACTGATTCTATACCTACACATATACACATAGAGTCTTTAGGCAAGACCATAAAAAATGACCAGGCGAACAAACTGCAAAACAGTAATTTATGGGGAAAAATGATTATTCCATGGCCTTCAAAATCATGTGTTAACATATTCATTCTTGAAGTTTCAACTATAAAATGTGTGGAGAAATGAAAAATAGTAAATTTAATATTTCTTTAGTACACTATAAGGCATTTCCGATATTGAGAATTCAGGGTTTTATTGTCAAAAACCTAACAAGAACATTCCAGCTGTGCCTGCTTTCTTAGGATGTAAGTCATGATACAGGGCAAATAATTCCTATACCTTGGCAAATTGTCACATTCCTTTCTTTTGCTCTCAGTGTTGTGAAATGGCTCCGAGAGTTTTTGAGGTGACGGTTTATGCCAGCACCACTTCCTCTGGGACATCTTTTTATTAAGTTCCCTTCACTAAGTTTCTCTGGCTTCTCACCCATGTCCTATCAACCCGCAGCAGTGTCAGCACCCCACGGTCCTCTCAGATTTCACTTCCATTGTTATCACTTTTAATTTCTTTGCTGTACTATTTGTCCTTGTTGGCCAGTGCCCTGTGCTGACTCATCATCTTTGTAAAATGTCACATGGCTGTATCACTAGGAAACAAAGCAGTGTCACTACACGCTTTGCTCTCTGCAGGAACTGAATGAATTACAGATGCCCAGTGACCAGCCATAACAGACTTTGAAAGAAGTGACATTACTGGTTTCGAGTCATGGGGCACATAAGTGACTACATGAGTGATTTGCAGACTGAGGACAACAGTCTAACTTCTAGCTGGAATTTGAACCGTGCTCTTGGAGGACTGGTGTTACTTAAACCATAGTAACTGAATTGTGCATATGGGAATTGTTCAAAGCAAAGATACATATGTACATACACACACACAGGTGGAAAAATAGAAACATAGATGGACACATGTTTAAGGGTTCTTATGAATAGAAAAAAAGGAATTAGAAAGTAGGACACAACAGACTCCTAATAGCTATAGAGAATTGAATTTGGGGAAGAAGATAGGGAGGAAGTGGTATTTATTAACATATGCATTTTTGTATGGCTTGAAAATTTACAAGTTAGCAATTTTTTAGAGCAAAATTAGGTATAATCTTACTTCTGTTTCCCTTAATCATGGCTTGTGTGCACCCTGGAAAAGGTAACAGGTAATGAATGGTACAAGAAATAATGGCAAATAAATAAATGCTTGTTGGACTGGGGCTATGATGGTTATGATGAATATGTGCAAGAAAAAAAATTGCAGAATGAGAGTAGACTTGCCCCATGGCATAGTGTCACATCCAGGATGTGCCAACTGACCTGACACTGTCGCTTGACAACAGAATGACCTTGAGCAAATTACTTCATCTCCATTGATATGCACTTTCCTGCCTGTACAACTGGATGTTACTAACTGTACAGAATCGTGACCATGTCAGAGAAGCACTCAACACAGCGACTAGAAACTAGTAAATGCTCAAAACATTGCACGATCACACCTGCTGTAGAGAGAATTTTCTGCCAATGAATGTCTCAGACAGTCCATAAGGTGATCTGTAAGCATTTATCACACAAGGCCAGGATTCTGAGCCATTCTAAGGGTATGTTTTACAATATATAAGGACAAATCTGTTTAGGTGCATTCCAACATGAATTTGTTTTTATGCCCAAGTCATTACAAACTAATCAAGTAGTACACTTACACAGAAGTTTACAGGACTCAGAGAATTATTTTAAATGTTTTTAGTTAACCAGATACAACCTTGTTAGTGGCGATAATTTTGTGTAACTCCAATCTAGCTAATTTAACTTACATTTTGAACTCCTAACTAGGTCAGGACCTTCAAACTTGGAAGAATTTTTTTAAAAAACCAATTTGGTATTCACTTCCCTCTCCCTCTTTTTTATGAATAGTCCATGAAAATCTTTGAGATAACCTTTATAGATATAAACCCTTACTTAAGCCAGACACAGTAGCGCATACCTGTAATCCCAGCAGCTGGGGAGGCTGAGCCAGGAGGATTGTGAGTTCAAGGTCAGCCTCAGCAACTTAGCAGGACCCTAAGCTACTCAGCAAGTCCCTGTCTCTAAATAAAATATTAAAAAGGGCTAGAGATATGGCTCAGTGGTTAAGCACCCCTGAGTTAATCCATGGTACCAATAAATAAATAAATAAAACCTTACTTAGAATATTTTAAAACTCCATTAAAATAAGATCTGTAAAAAGTATCTGATCTACAATAATCATGTAATATTTTATAGAGTTGTAACTTTAATCTTGACAATTTTCTAAAGAATATATTTCTCTTTGAGCTTTTTTTTCCCCATGACACACAGATTACATCCAGACCTTGTCATGTTCTGTGCTGGTTTCTCCCCTGGTCAGCTGGTCAGGGCAGAGGCAGTCAGGGAGCCTCACCGACTGACGGGCAACTCTTTCCCAGTTCCTCTGACCTCTGCCTCCAGGCCTGTGAGCTGCCGTCATCAGCACCCAGGACCTGATTATTTTCCAAGAAGGGATAAACCCCTCAAAATAAAATATGGGATTGCTTCAAGTGAGCTTTTAAGTCGGTTTTAGTAAAAATAAAATGGGAATGTCTTTCACATGAAGGAATGCTCTACTTCATCTTGCTGTTCGCTACGGCACTTTCAGTTAACTTAATTACAAACAGGGTTTAGCTTTTTTTAGCTTGAAGATGACCCCATAACTTTTAAGCCATACTCACAGCTCTTGTGAGATATATGCACACACACAAATTGTGTAGACATGCCCAAATTTTATATAGGTATTGTGTGTGTATGTGTGTGTGTGTGTGTGGGTGTGGGTGTGGGTGTGTGTGTGTGAGTCCAGCTGCACTTTCTAGCCTCTGAAGTCAGATTCTAGCCATTCTTAGGATGTAATGTTAGTAAGTAGTAATTATCTAATCAAACTTTGTAAATGATTTTAAAATAGGTCGAGGACATTTTAATTTCAGTTGCTAGGAGAAGCCAG